ACACAAGGTGTGTGCCATAACTGGCAGAGAATATTGATATTGTATGAACCAGTAATTTATTTACAAATCTTTTGCTTAACTTCTGCTTCCTCCTTTGATGGGAATTCTTCATCTGTCGTTGTGTTGAGAATACCATAAGTAGGAAACGTCCCTCATGAAGCTACCATCTCATTCATGGCCTTGAGACTTGGCAACCTTTAAGACTTGTGGGTTTCAACTCCCAGAATTCTTCATCCATACCATGCTGGCTGAGGAATTCTGGGAATTGAAGTCCACAAATCTTAATCTCGCCAAGTTTGAAGATCCCGAATCTAGTTTCTATGGATCTGCTTTTAAAAGCTGAAATGTCAATGTGTTGGACAGGGGAGAAAATACCAATTCCATGGATCAAATCCTTCCCCATGTCTGCTGCTTAGGCAGCTGAGTAGAAAGCCACTGCTTTAATAAGTGTAGATACATAACTATTGATGTCTCTTTAACAGCTACTCAGGAACAAATTTTGTGCACTACCAAGTCATTTCAATAGGCAATAGCTATGCAACTTAAGCCTTTGGAACTCTAGCTTTTTAGTAAATGCTGGTGAAATTTCACACACAACATGCCTCACCATCCTTGTAAGCAGCTGAACATCAAGTCCTGTTAGTTTATGCAGTGCATTAGCACTTTGCTTTATCCATTGAAAGGTAAGAAGTAGGAAGATCTCTGCCCCAAGCAGCTTTTATTCGTATTTTGTGCTGCAGAGGGAAATAGAAATAAGAGTAAATGGGAAAATATTTGTCTCTCATTGGTACATCTTTTAAGCTCAGATTTAATGAAGAATATAAATTCATGGCCTGGAGATTTGAAGCAAAGTGCTGGCATTACATATATATATATATGGTAAAGGTTCCCCTCACACATGTGCTAGTTGTTCCCAACTCTAGGGGGCAGTGCTCATCTCTGTTTCAAAGCCGAAGAGCCAGCATTGTCCAAAGACGTCTCCGTGGTCATGTGGCCGGCATGACTCAACGCCAAAGGCGCACAGAATGCTGTTAACTTCCTACCAAGGTGGTCCCTATTTTTCTACTTGCATTTTTGACGTGCTTTCGAACTGCTAGGTTGGCAGAAGCTGGGACAAGTAACGGGAGCTCACCCCGTTACGCGGCACTAGGGATTCAAACTGCTGAACTGCCAACCTTTCAATTGACAAGCTCAGCGTCTTAGCCACTGAGCCACCATGTCCCACAAGTCATATATATCCTGCCTTTAATTCAGGGCTCAGGACTTCCTACATAGTGCTCCCTCCTCCTGTTTCCCCATATTCACTAGGGAATGGGCATAGCCATTGTTCTGTTTCAACAATACCTTAGTAAAGATATACCAATCTGGTCTAATGGTTAAGGCACCAGGCTAGAAAGCAAGATACTGTGACTTCTGTCACACACACACTCAGCCCAACCAAAGAGTTGTGGTGGTGGGGAAAACAGGAGGAAAATGTGTTGTGTATGTTCACCACTTTGAGTTATTTATAAAAGTAATAAAGGCAGAAAATAAATGAACAAACCACTAAATGGAATTGGATGAGTGGAGATCTGTTAAAAGGAGGTGGACATAAAAGGAAAATGTTGGAGTAGACAGGGCTTCTGGCTTCTGAACTAGATAAGAATTTAGATGAAAGGGTTGATAGAGAAACAGTCATCTTAAAAGTGTTTACAAACTAGAAAGGGGCGAAAAATTGATTCTTAAAACATACATCAGCTTTGTAGAAAATTGAGTTCAGCTGTGCAGAACGAAGTTTTGCAGTTCAGTTCATAAGCTGCATTTATCACAAGACGATAAATAATTCTTTAGAGATCACAGTGGCTGGATTTGAATAGCATTATTATTATTATTATTATTATTATTATTATTATTATTATTCATATTTCTATGCCGCCCACTCTCCGAGGGCTCTGGGCGGCTTACACCAAAGACAGTATACTAAATAGCATATTGCGTTGCCCCCAACAATCTGGGTCCTCATTTTACCCACCTCGGAAGGATGGAAGGCTGAGAACCTTGAGCCGGTGAGATTTGATCCTCTGATCTGCTGAACTAGCAGTCAGCTGAAGTAGCTGCAGTACTGCACTCTTAACCACTGCGGCATCTCGGCTCTCATTCTAAAACCATGGTAAATCATGTTTAGGGATAGTGGCCAGCAGTCTTTTCAGCCTCAGGAGTAGTCCTTGCCGTCCCTTGGGGGTGTTTCACTAGCATTCTAGTGTTTTGGGGTAATAATATATTTGCTACTTTATGGTAAATGTTATTTTACAAAGCATACACAATTCTAGGGTAAAGTGAGACTTGCTAGTCTTACCAGTCTGCATTTTGAGGGTTTAATGCTTGGGTGTAACGCTTGCCTTACAACCATTGAAGTTACAACATTGAAAACAGTTACAGCGGATTCTCCCACTTATGACTGTTGTACCATCCCTGTGGTCATGTGATCAAAATTCGGGTCACTGTCTATTTATGATGGTTGCAGCATTCCAGGTCATGTGGTTGCCGTGTACAATCCTTCCCAGCTGACTTCGGACTAGCAAAGTCAATGGAGGAAGCTGGATTTGCTTAAACTATTTGCATGATTCACTAAACAACCAATAAAAGAGAATATTTGTAGCTCAGGGTTGAAATGAGAGGTCCTTGAAGCTCTCTGAGCTTGGTTGTTTTCTTGCAGACGTTTCCTTACCCAAACTTGATGATGTTACCTAGTTGGGTAATGAAACATCTGCAAGAAAGCAGCCAAGCTTAGAGACTACCAAGGAGTCCTCACATGCCTTGTTTAGCAATGGAAACTCTAACCCTAATTAAGTGGAGGACTAGCTATAATTACTAATATGTGACTGGATATGTGAGCAATTTTTTTTATTGCTTAACTCGTGCTTGTAGGTCAACTTGAACACAGAATAATAAGAGTTATTAGAATAGAATAATTGTCCAAACTAGTATGGGGTCTCCAAGCAGGACAAATTGTCCTCCAAGCAGGACAATAGTTTGGACAAGTCTTATGTCTTTGCATATCTGACTTACTTCATATATTAATAGCTCTGGCTGAAAGATAGAATTGATAAAAGGGAGGCATAGTTCTGTGTATGTGTGTGTCTCCGGGCAGTGCAGCAAACTTTTTTTTATTTATATGCAACATTTCCTGGCCTTTCTTCTAACCTGAGAGCCACCATAATTACTTGCAAGGGAAGTTAAAGCCAACACGTGTCACCATGTAAATGGACACAACTTGCATCAGATGTGCCTCGTGTTAACATTTGCATAGAGACGTTACGATGCGTGTATTATTTGATATTGCTTATTTCAGATACTTAACATAAATAAGCATTGCATGGATTTCAGGCTGAATAAGTATCTGCTTGGTTTTCTTGACAATCTTTTTGCAAATCGTCTGATAGGTCCCAACAGGCTAGCCGTGGTGTCGAATTGGAGATTTCTCTCTGCAGTGAAATTTTAGTTTGTTTCAACCATTGTTCCTTGAAGTGCTGAGTTGGCACATTGGATTAAGCCGCCTCTAGATTTACAACCACAGTGACTCAGTTTATGTACATGCTAAGCCAAAACCATATTACTGATTAAGCCACCCTCCCTCCCTTGAATAATCAATACATTAGTATGAATCAATATTAAGTATGAATTAATTGTGGTTTGTTCATCCATAATGAACTGGTTCACACATGGCATAATGTAATTTGGTTTTAATATGGTAGATATGAACAATATCACCATTCAGGTGAGTTCCCAGAATTCCTAGATAGACATAACAGGTGAGAATTTCAACAGGAGGACTCACCACAGTTAATCTAAAGCAGGGGTCTCCAACCTTGGCAACTTTAAGCTGGCTGAGGAACTCTGGGAATTGAAGTCCACAAGTCTTAAAGTTGCCAAGGTTGGAGGCCCCTGATCTAAAGTACAGGTAGTCTTCAGTTTACAACTGGACTAGGAATTCATTAAGCATGGGCATTAAGTGAGTAATCATGTGACCACACCCTATTCTACACACTTTTTTGCTGTATGTCTATGGAGAGTCTCAGTCATCCAGGTCATGGTTGTCCCAAAGGTGCTTTTTTCAGGAGGCAACTGGACTTTCTGGTTTTTCTTAGAAGATGTTTCGCTTCTCATCCAAGAAGCATCTTCAGCTCTGACTGGATGGTGGGGAATGGAAGGATTTATATTCCTTGCATACAGCGGGTCATTTGGTTGAAGAAACCCATTAGGACAAAGTTCAGCAGTCCATCTGCATTTCAAAGACAAAAGGCCACTCTTTTGAGGACAGCAAAGTCCACATTTTGGACAGAGAAGACTTCTGGTTTGAAAGGGGGGGGTGTCAAAGAAGCCATCTATGTCAGCCCTCTCTCAACAGAGGGGGAGAGAGATGACATCATCTATCTCCAGTCTACAACACAGTCCTTTCAGCAGTTCCAAGAAGGCGCCTCACTCATTTGTACCACTCAGGTGACCCTGAAGACACAGATAAATCTCCAGGTGGTCTTAATGACTCACTAAAAGAATGCAAATGACCAGCTGTCTGCAAGGTGTATGAATCCTTCCATTCCCCACCTTTGGGGACCTTTTTTTGCTGTACTCATTACCATAGTCATTGAGACACATAGTGATTATGACTTGTGACCTTCCTTGCTCATTCTAGGTGGATTAGTGACTTCTTAAATTTGTGAAGATAACCTGTGCTCTTATGAGAAATAGTCCTGTGTTTAGTGGGGTTGAATTCCCCAGTAACATCTAAGAGTGATGGATATTCTTTCAGAGATATGGAATGTCCTGCTTCCTTTATAGAATAGCTGTAGTTAATGACCAGTGTAACTTCCTGCTTCCTCTGTAGAATTACCTGTACTTATCCATCCTTACCTTCAACAGATAATAAAGCAAGGCTGCAGTGTTTTGGGTGCTTTCTTGAAAATGACACCTGGGATAAATGTAACTCTGACTTGGTCTTCATCTCCTGTATCTTCCCACAGGTCCATCATGTCTGACAGAAAGGCTGTGATCAAAAATGCTGACATGTCCGAGGACATGCAGCAGGATGCTGTCGATTGTGCTACGCAGGCCATGGAGAAGTACAATATAGAGAAGGATATTGCAGCATACATCAAGAAGGTATGTTTCTGTTTGCGAAGGGCAAGGGGGTGGGGTGGGATTGGATTGGATTGTATAGCCCTACATGTAGTCCTTGACCTGTGACCCTAATAGAGCCTGCCTGTTAATGGTTGTAAGTTGTGAACAGTTGTAAAGTGAGTCATCCACGCGACTGACCCAATTTTACAATGTGCTTTTTGGCAGTTGCGTTAAGCAAATCGCTTTGGTTATTAAACAAATTCGTTGGCAATGGGGCAAGTTTTGCTGAAAATAGGAAGCATGTCATATGTCAATGAAAACTCAATCATCCAGGCCAAAGGTATCTTAAAAGTTTAAATAATGCAGTTTAAAAAATGGAACAGCGGTAGATGCAAGCATTTCGTATTGACTAGTCCAGGGGTCTCCAACCTTGGCAACTTTAAGACTTGTGGACTTCAACTCCCAGAATTCTCCAGCCAGCATAGCACATCTGATGACATGTGATGTCATCTACCCTGAAATAAGTGCTTGGCCTTATTGCCATGCGCTCAAAAGCCTGATTGGGTTTATTATCAGGGGATGTCTTATTTTGGGGAAAACAGGGTATTTCTGGAAAAACCTCAAACGAATTTTAAAAGCAGTTAACAGCTTTTCTGTAACTGCTGTATTTGATTTAGAAGATTCTGTCCGATAATTATAGAAGGGAAGTTTGCCCATCACAGATAGTTTCCTTAAGCAAGGAATCATAGTCAACCAGCATTTGCTGGCTGGGGAATTTTGGGAGTTGAAATCCAAAGCATCTCAATAGTTGCCAAGTTTGAAAAACAGTCATAAACCACAATTAGTGTCTTAATACAAAATAGTTAAACCAACACTGAAAAAAATTTACTGCAATTTCGGGTAATGACTATACCGAAACAAGGCAGTATAATTGGCCTGTCTAAATTCTGTGTGCACTGTTGATTGCAGTTTTCTCCTGGCCTGTAACCCAGGGACAGAACATACATGTTTTGTCTGAGTAACTCTCTCTGAATTGGAAGGCTTAATATTGTGTTCTGCTTCCAATTATTTATTTTTTTTAAATTCAGTTAGACAAACATTAAGTGGGGATTTGTTTAAAGGGATACTTTCTACGGGAACCAGATCCAAACTGATTTGCAAGAGTTGTTAACAATAAAAACTTTTTGGAAGAGTTGAGTGCGCTTAATGGATTGGGGAACAGAGTTAAGATTAGGTGCAGTTAACTCAGCTGCCTATCTCTGCAGATTCAGAATCTCTGGATGGTTTAAGTAGATTTAATTTACTTCATTAAATTGTTATAAATTAATTTATAAAATTCTATAAACTAATTAGTTTTATGAATTAAAATTATAAATTAAATTAAGTAGATTAAGAAGATTTGGGTTTCAGGATGTGAGGGAAAAATAACTGGCGATGCAAAGCTGCCAAAAAAGCCAACACAGTTCTAGGCTGCATAAACAGAGGGATTAGAATCAAGATCACATGAAGTGTTAATACCACTTTATAATACCTTGGTAAGGCCACACTTGGAATACTGCATTCAGTTTTGGTTGCCACGATGTAAAAAAAAAGATGTTGAGACTCTAGAAAGAGTGCAGAGAAGAGCAACAAAGATAATTAGGGGACTGGAGGCTAAAACATAGGAAGAACGGTTGTAGGAATTGGGTATATCTAGTTTGATGAAAAGAAGGATTAGGAGTGACATGATAGCAGAGTTCCAACATCTCAGGGGCTGCCACAAAGAAGAGGGAGTCAAGCTATTCTCCAAAGCACCTGAAGGCAGGACAAGAAGCAATGGGTGGAAACTAATCAAGGAGAGAAGCAACCTTAGAACTAAGGAGAAATTTCCTGACAGTTAGAACAATTAATCAGTGGAACAACTTGCCTCCAGAAGTTGCGAATGCTCCAACACTGGAAGTTTTAAAGAAGATGTTGGATAACCATTTGTCTGAGGGTTTCCTGCTTAAGCAGGGGGTTGGATTAGAAGACCTCCAAGGTCCCTTCCAACTCTTGTTATTTTATTCTTTTCTAAATATGGAAAAGCCAGGTATTAGTAAATACAGGTGATCCTTGACTTAAGACCATTCATTTACTGACCATTTGAAGTTACAACGGCACTGAAAAAGGTAACATACAACCAATCCTTGCACCTATCAACCATCACAGCATTCCCCACAGTCACATGATCACAATTAAGGTGCTTGGCAACCAGCATAAATTTATGATAGTTGCACACAGAACTGAGTCACTGCTTAACACATACATTAAACCAAAAAATCATCACAGTGGGATCCCAGGTGCTCTCTGAGCTTGGTTGTTTCCTTGCAGATGATTCATTGCCAAACTAGGTTATTCATCATGACTGATAATGTTATCCAGTGTGGTCCTGAAACATCCACAAGAAAACAGCCAAACTCCAAGAGCACCAAGGACCTCCAGAGTTTCAACCCTGAGCTACAAATAATCTCTTCTAAATCACTGTGTTTGCGTTCAGGCAACATGTCAAATTGAAACCAGTCACACATTTATGAACCCATGGGTCATTTTTTTTTTTCAATGAGCATAATGCCTTATTAAAAGGAAGAGGCCCCACTCTATGTGGTGTGTCTATTTTATAACACTTGTATATGTAACAATTTTCCCATGCATGGGAAAATTGTGCCTAAATAAAAGATGCTTATGACTCCCGATTCAAAATGTAAAGTGTCGGATGTTTGCTCTGTCATTGCCAAAGTGTCAGATGTTTGCTACAAAAGGAATTTAGGTCTTTGTATTATGAATTTGAGGCTTTCTCTTTCAATGTTTAAATCCTTAAAGCTGCCAATCCTTTTAGACAGCAGCAGGGTGGATTTGATTTAAATCGAGTTGATTTAAATCATGATTTAAATCACTAGTAAAAAGGCTTGATTTAAATCAACTCGATTTAAATCATAATTTTTAAAGAGCACTGTCATCTCTGCTACTCCTTTGACCCACTGTTGACTCACCGATAGTCCCAGTGTTGCAGAATATACAGCCTCATGCTACATAACTAAGCTCCATTTCATGCTGAATAAACTACATTATTTATGTATCTTAAATAGAAAACTATCTTACGATAGACTTTTACCCCAAAGTTTTTTATTAAAATAAATTCAATAAAAATAAAAAAAAAATCTGATTAAAATCAAAAAATCTGATTTTTTAAAAAAAATTTTAAAAAATCATGATTTTTTATCCACCCTGGACAGCAGAAACAGTATGTTCATTCAGTAGAGTCCTTCTAAATAATAATTGCTACCAGTATTAGGGCATAGATCTGTTTATACATCAGACTAATTTTCGCCCTTTGAAAAGAAAAACTGTACCTTTAAATTTCAATACATCAAGGTGATGTAGCCAGCTTCTCCTCTCTTTATTAGAGGGATAGAGAATCTTACCTTACTTAGACCTCATTTTTGTAGCCCCCAGATTGCTAAACAAATTGGCACTGCACTTTTTTGCATAGGAGGATTTTTTTGGGGGGCAAACTTTTAATATAAATTTTAAAATGCAATTGTTACTGGGTCATGTTATGCTTGTCAGATTGTCCTGCTGAATTGGCATCACTACCCCGCTCCGTACTCTTTACACATTCATTAAAGGTAAAGGTTCCCCTCGCACACATGTGCTAGTCGTTCCCGACTCTAGGGGGCGGGGCGGTACTCATCTCCATTTCTAAGCCAAAGAGCCAGCGCTGACCGAAGACATCTCCGTGGTCATGTGGCCGGCATGACTAAAGGCCAAAGACGCACGGGAACGCTGTTACCTTCCCACCAAGGGGGTCCCCATTTTTCTACTGGCATTTTTTACGTGCTTTCATACTGCTAGGTTGGCAGAAGCTGGGACAAATAACGGGAGCTCACTCAGTTACGCGGCACTAGGGATTCGAACCGCAGGATTGGGGGTGACATGATAGCAGTCTTCCAATATTTGAGGAACTGTCACAAAGGAGGTCAGCCCTTCAAAGCACCACACACCAAGACAAGAAATAATGGATGAAAACTAATCAAGCAGAGAAGCAGCCTAGAACTAAGGAGAAATTACCTAATAATGGGAACAATTATTCAGCGGAATGGCTTGACTCCAGAAGTTGTGGGTGCTCTATCACTGGAGGCTTTTAAGATAGCAGTCCCCAACCTTTTGAGCACCAAGGACCGGTTCCTTGAAGAGAGTTTTTTTCATGGACTGGAGGGGGCGTGGTTTTGCATGCTGCCTGCATCCCGCGGATGAGACTGCGCTTGTTTGTGCGGCCTGGTTTCTAGCATGCCATGGCCTGATGCCAGTCCATGGACCAGGGGTTGGGGACCCCTGTTTTAAGAAGAAACTGGACAGCCACTTGCCTGGAATGGTATAGGGCCGTGATGGCGAACCTATGGCACAGGTGGCACGCCGAGCCATATTTGTGGGCATGTGAGCGTTGCCCTAGCTGAGCTCCAGCGCGCATGTGCGTGCTGGCCAGCTGATTTTCGGGCCTTCCGGTCCCACCGGAAGTTGGGAAATGGGTTGTTTCTGGCCTCCGGGGAGTCTCTGGGTGGGTGGGGGAGGCAGTTTTTGCCCTCCCCAGGCTCCTAGAAAGACTCTGGAGCCTGGGGAGGGCAAAAAAATGGATCTACCGGGCGCACCAGTAACTTTTTTGCCATCGCGTGCCAAAAGTGGGAGCCTGGAGGTCCACGCCCGCATGCACGGGAGGGGGGCACGGGGGCATTGAATTATGTATGTGTGTGGGCACGGGCACACGTGACACCCCCGCACTTCCCCCGCTTTAGGCACGCGACGGCAAAAAGGTTTGCCATCACTGGTATAGGGCTTTGATGGCAAACCTATGGCACGTGTGCCGGAAGTAGCACGCAGAGCCATCTGGGTATGCGAGCCATCGCCTGTTGCTCTTCCGGGTTCCGGTGTGCCGGCCAGCTGGTCTTCATGCACGCGGGAGCGCTGGAAACCAGAAGAGCAGCTGCCCAGTGTGCATGATCTTCCGATTTCCGGTGCTCACATGCATACCGTCCACCTGGTCTTGCGGTGTGGATGTGTGCGCGAAGACCAGCTGGCCGGTGTACATGCGCATGCTGAAAATCAGAAGATCTTCTTCCTGGCACACGCATGCGTACCAGCCAGCTGATCTTCGCACACGCATGTGTGCCAGAAACCGGAAGACCAGATGGCCGGTGCGCATCTGTGCGCCAGAAACTGGAAGATCATCTTCCTGGTGCGCACATGTACACTGGGCGACTGCTTTTCCGGTTTCTGGCATGCGCGCTCTCATTTTGGCACTCAGTACCGAAAAGGTTCGCCAACACTGGTATAGGATCTCCTGCCTGAGCAGGGGTTTGGACTCCAAGGTACCTTCCAACTGTTACTCTGTTTCCGTTATTCTGGTTTTCAGCAGGTTTTTGCCACTTTTTCAGCGTTTCCGGCAAAATGCACCTATTAGATAAAATGGAATGGAGGGAAATTAAGCAGTAGCTTGATCAAATCACAGTGCAATAAGGAATTTGAGGGGGATAGTCATTCATATTATTTCAAGGAGAAGCAGAAGTACTGTTTAAAATTGTAGTTTGTAATTGTAAATTATAAAAAATTTAAATTTAAAATTGCAGTAGTAAAAGAATCACTTTTGACCTCTCCTTCAACACGATTACAAATAAACATTAACCTTTTGCTCCAAAATTCAACAGTACACACAGGGTGGATTTGATTTAAATCGAGTTGATTTAAATCACAATTTAAATCATGATTTAAATCACTAGTAAAAAGGCTTGATTTAAATCAACTTGATTTAAATCGTAATTTTTAAAGAGCAGCTGTCATCTCTGCTACTCCTTTGACCCACTGTTGACTCACCAATAGTCCCAGTGTTGCAGAATATACAGCCTTGTGCTACATAACTAAGCTCCACTTCATGCTGAATAAACTAAATGATTTATGTATCTTAAATAGAAAACTATCTTACGATAGACTTTTACCCCAAAAGTTTTTTATTAAAATAAATTCAATAAAAATAAAAAAAAATCCGATTTAAATCAAAAAAATCTGATTTTTTTGATTTTTTAAAAAAAAATCATTGATTTTTATCCACCCTGAGTACACAGTATTTCTGTAGTTCTAAACTCTTTAATCATCACATCCCAACATTAAAAATTTCATTTCCGTTTCAAGCAAAAAGCCCCAAAGTAACCTTCGTGTAGAAACAAAGGTAGACAACATCTTTTCTTTAATTAAAATAGTTTTACCATCTAGGACAGTTCCATTAACTTCACCAACCATTCTTCCATTGTGGAAATCTGTAGATTGGAAAACATTGATGCGTTAAATGGAAAATGGATGTAAATTTCCTGAGAAAACGTGGTAGGTGCCAATTCGGAAAGGAGGAGGAATATCTCGTTATCTAGAACTCAAAAGAACAGTTAATTTAACTTGCAGTGGAACCTGCAACCATATGCAGTCGTGAAGCGAACTAATTGTTTCATATGGGCTAGATTTGCTGAAAACCGGAAGTAAAAGCTTGTTTTTAGCACCAAAATAAATAAATAAATAAATTGCAAAATGTTGATATGACCACGGGACACTGCAAAAGGTGGTATATGCTGGCCAGTTGCTGAGTGCCCAAAATGCAGTCATATGACCTTGGGGCGGGGGTGCATTGGAACTTTGGAACCAGATTATTTATACCCCTTGAGAGGCCCATTGGAACTTCAATGGTCACAAGTCAAGGACTGTCTAAAAAATACATTTTCACGACTTAATAGGTATGCTTCGGTTTATGTATGATGCAGTTTACAGGCCATGGAGAGTGAGATTTTATTTTGAAAAATCATTGAAATGATCAGAGGCAGACAGCTGGATATTAAGTCTTTGAGGTTCCCACCTTCCCTTAGCCTACCCCATACAAGTAGTCCTTGACTTGCCACCACTATTGAGCCCAAAATTTTATGTTGCTAAGCGAGACATCTGTTAAATGAGTTTTGCAAGCTTTTCTTGCCACTTAGCTGCAGTTTTAAATAAATCATGATTAAGTTAGTAACATGGTTGTTAAGTGAATCTAGCTTCCCCATTGTCTTGCTTGTCAGAAGGGTGCAAAAGTGATTTTGCATCATTCTGGGACACTGCAACCGTCATAAATATGAACCAGTTGCCAAACTTCTGAATTTTGGTCATATGACCATGGTATGCTGTAATGGTTGTGTAAGCATCATAAGTCACTTTTTTCAGTGCCCTGGTGACTTCAAACAGTCACTAAATGAACCTGTTGTAAATTGAGGACTACCTGTATTCCCAGGGCAAGGGATCAAGGTAGTTGTAGCCAAGAATATTTGAAGGAATTCCTCAGCCAGCCATGCTGGCTGGGGAATTCTGGGCATTAAAGTCCCCAAATCTTAAAAGTTAACAAGGTTGGACAGCTAACTGTATAGAGTAGTGTTTCTTAACCTTGGCCACTTTAAGATGTGTGGACTTCAACTCCCAGAATTCCCCAGTCAGCTGTGCTGTGCTGGGGAATTCTGGGAGTTGAAGGCCACACATCTTAAAAGTGGTCCAGGTTGAGAAACACCGGTATAGAGCATTGTTTCTCAACCTGGTCTGGGGAATTCTGGGAGTTGAAATCCACACAGTTTAAAGCTGCCAAAGTTGTGAAACACTCCTGTGGTGAAAGATAACCAGAGGCCAATGATCACTTTAGGGACAATAGCAAAAGGATCAATTCAGTCTACAGAAGGCCCACAGCGTTACATTTTTTTCCCCTTGTATTTTTGTCAAGAAAACCACAGGGATAAAAAATTGAAACCAATTGGCAATTTATGGAGACCATCTACTGTAACTGAGTTTTTGGTAAGAGTCTGATAGATCAATGAAGGGGCAGTTTCCCTTATACAGCTGCCATTTTGACTTTTTTGACCCCCCCCCAATTGCTCAGGGCTGGTCCAGAAATTCAAGATGGTGGCCTCCACCCTGCAGTCAAAGCCATGGCCCTTTTCTACATTAGAGTAGAGTAGAGTAGAGTAGAATAGAATAGAATAGAATAGAATAGAATTCTTTATTATTATTATATTAGATACATTCGTCAAGAATCATAAGGTACAACACTTAATGATAGTCATAGGCTACAAATAAGCAGTCAAATCATATTAGGAAACAATATAAATCATAAGGATACAAGCAACAAGGTTACAGTCATACAGTCATACGTGGGAGGAGATGGGTGATAGGAACGATGAGAAGATTAATAGTAGTGCAGACTTAGTAAATAGTTTGGCAGTGTTGAGGGGAATTATTTGTTTAGCAGAGTGATGGCGTTTGGGAAATTTCACGGCAGGCCTCGTTTTCTTTTCCAACTCCAGACGCTCATGTCACCTTCTTTTCTCCCTTTACAAGCCGAGACTTGAGTGCATGTCTGAAAATGCTCTGTGAACAAACCGCCGATTTTCACCTTTCCTTCCCGCTTTTGTTTATTTCCTCAGGAATTTGACAAGAAATACAACCCCACCTGGCACTGCATCGTGGGCAGGAACTTCGGTAGCTATGTAACGCATGAGACGAAGCACTTCATTTACTTCTACTTGGGCCAAGTGGCGATTCTTCTCTTCAAATCCGGCTAGGGGTTCAGGCCAGCGCCTGTGGGGGTCACGGCTGGTGAGGAACATGGACTGTAGCACTAAAGACAGGCTCCAGCTCTTTAACCATGGCTGCGCCACTGCATGGACTCGATACTATATTTAATGTGTATATGTTGCCGTAAAAAATACCTACAATTCTCATTTCTTTCTCTGTTTTGGGGGGATTGCCTAGGAGAAGAAAGGCAGCGTATTATCCCCTCTTCCTCCTCCTCTTCTTTTATCTTTTTTTTCCCCCTTTTATGTTCCTGCTTCTTATTTTTTCTGTTCTTTTGCACTAGGAGAACTGTAAAATGCTTCAACAATGGCCTTTAAGTGAGAAGAAGAAATGAAATGAAATAATACAATAAAATAAGAAACTTCAATTCCACAAAACAAATCTTTGGGTTTAACTTTCTTGCAGAAGGCTGGAGGTCTAACCCTAGCAGAGGAAAGAAAAAAATAAAAACTCTTGTTAGGTGTAGAATCTGTCGTCAAAGTTAACTAAATTATTTTTAAATTCCTGTCAAAAGCTTCCTCTTCCCAAAATGGCACTATTGTCCCATGAAGTCGCCTTAAAAGTGATTGGAGGCAGCCCTGGGTGTGCGCGTGTATCTGTGTGTTGTCTTGGCCCAGTTTTCTTTGCTTTTCTTGGACTCGCCCGTGCTGCCTCCAACACAAATTGAGCAAAACAAAGCTGATACGGATTTGCAAAATGCGTGATATCCTCTTTGAGGAGACAGACACCCCCACCCCACCCCCCCCAGAATCGGCTGGCCTGGTCTGTTATCGGCATTTCCAAAGCATTTTTCAAATGAAAGATGTCTACTCTTGTGTGTCCAAGATTCTGTCGTGATGCCCAATGGTTGTGATCAGGATTTTCTATGCCCCTGTTTTTTGAGTCCGTACAGTATTGCCTTATTGTAGCTCACGTCCTCTCGTTGTGCAGGGAAGATCCTGTCCGAAATCAGTGGCTTAAATGTTGCTGTGCTTTAAATGTCTCCAGTAAAGATGGATAGACCATCATCTTAGAGGCTGAACCCCAGTCTCTCTTCTGTTGGCTTTCTATTCTGGTCCCCTTTTGACCCAACAAAAGGAGGGGTCAACAGGAGCAGCTCTGTACCCTAACCAGCTCCTGAACGTGCAAGAAAAGGTCGTTTCTGGGCTTTCTTAGCTTCCTTAGTCTATGGTTGTACAGGAATACTTCTAAGTTCTGTTGCAACAATAAAAATAAAATAAAATGGGATTTTTTTCTTTTTTCTTTTTGCAAAGGTTCCATACGAAATGCAGTGATAGCTTTAACATCTCTGGTTGCTTTTCGCAGTTCAAAGAGCCTATAGAAATTCTTGGGTGGGTGGAGAGGGAAAAGAGTTCTCTTAAAAACAAAGGGGAGTGAAGAAGAAGCAAGACTTTTATTGAAGGAGCACTTTTAACTCCTGGATTCATGGAGATTCTCGGTCATCCAGGCCATGGTGGTCCCAAAATTGCTTTTTCAAAAGGCAAGTGGACTTCCTTAGTTCTTTTTCCTTCGAAAAGCTTTCCCTTCTCATCCAAGAACTGAAGAAGCTTCTTGGATGACAAGCAAAACGTCTTCAAGGAAAAAAACAAAAGTCCAATTAATTGCCTTTTGAAAAAAAAAAGCCCCATGGGATGAAATGTGAAAATATGGCCCCTGTCTTCCCATTCGATACCCAGAGGTTATTGGTTAGAGAAATAGGGCAGTCACCCCTCATTTATAGGGGAAGAGGGCTGTGTCTGAAAGAACAGGACAGATCCAAATCAAAAGGAAAAACCTGCGCTGTGGGCCGAATCCAAAGCAAACCAAAAAAAACCCCCACAGGCTCTCTGTAGAAACTGTTTCCTGAAACAAAACAAATGTTAAAAAGTTGGAATGGCTGTTGTGTTGAATGTTTATCGATAACTTTTTTTCCCATCCAAGAGGCAGGGAGGCAGTGGCAAAGTAAGTGCCTGGGGTCCTACAGAAAACACCGCCCTTCATTGGAAATAAAAATGAGAAGATTTGTCTTGTTTCTTTAATTCTGTGCATGAGTCTAACTGTGAATAAGCTCAACTTAAGTCATGGAGGGCGAGAAACTTTAAATCCTTTCCATCCTAACCGCAGTTGCTCAGACTAACCCTTTTTATTTTTCAAAAACATTAAAATCAAATTGACACATTTAAGAACGTTGTTGAGTTTTGTTTTTGGGGTGTGTGTGTGGGGGGGTCAGAGTGGAATATGTACACAATTTGGGGTATTGTGGGAGAGGTGCTAAATTACGGGTAATCCTCGACTTGCGACAGTTCATTTAGTGACTTCGAAATTACAATGGCACTGGGAAAAAAAAGTGCCAGGATTGTTTTTCATACTTGTGACCGTTGCAGCATTCCCGTGGTCACGCAATCAAAATCCAGACACTGCAACTGACTTATGTTTATGACAGACACACACAGTATCCTGGGGCAGGGGTGGGCAGCTGTGGCCCTTTTTACAACCTGTGGACTTCAACTCCCAGAATTCCTGAGCCAGTTTGGCTGTTTCAGGAATTCTGGGAGTTGAAGTCCACAGGTTGTAAAAGGGCTACAGTTGCCCACCCCTGTCCTGGGGTCATGTGATCACCTTTAGTGACCTGACAAAAGTTAGTGAGGAAGCCAGATTCACTTTAACAATCATGTTACTTAACTGCAGTGATTCACTTAACTATGGCAATGAGGTCATAAAATGAGGCAAAATTCATGTAATACCTCACTTAGCGATAGAAATTGGTGCCTTCACCAATTCACTTAAAATTCACTTAAAAAGAACCTTGGTGGAACAGCGGACTAAAGCACTGTTAAGTAGCACTTAGCAGCTAGCTGCCTGCAATTACTGTGAGTTCAAATCTCACCAGGCTCAAGGTTGACTCAGCCTTCCATCCTTCCGAGGTAGGTAAAATGAGGACCCGGATTGTGGGGGCAATAAACTGACTTTGTATAAAAAAGAACACCGCTTAGGAGGGAACCGAAAGCCCTACTAAGGTATATACAAAAATATGAAGGCTATTGCTTAACGCATTGTAAGCCGCCCTGAGTCTCCGGAGAAGGGCGGCATATAAATCGAACCAATAAATAAATACAATAAATAAATTTTGGGCTCAATTATCATAAAATGAGGATTATCTGTATACCAGGTCATCTTTATTATTTTATTATATTTATATGCCACCCATCTGGCTGTTACAGCAACCCTGCGTGGCTCACAACATAATACAAAAATGATTAAAGATTAATGATTAAAGATCATTAAGAGCGGGGTGGGGGAATCTTCTCTCTAACCCATCAACCACTCCCAGCATAGAGCCTCCCTATCTGGGGCCCTAGGCCAGCCAACAGCCAGGTTTTAAGATTTCCAGAAGACCAGGAGTATGGGAATCCAGCTCCCCTTCAACGGGAGATTATTCCAAAGGATGGGGGCCACCCCAGAAAAGACTCCTAGACCCCACCAGCCAAAATTCTTCAGCAGGTGGGATCCGGAGTAGGACTCTTCTGCTGGAGTGAGTGAGATGGGCCAATCCTATTGAGTCAAGATGGTTCCTCAGATATCATGGTTCATGCCATAGCGACATGCACAAAACATAAGGCCTAATCAGCATGGTGATAGTGGTCATGCTGGAAATATTTGCTCTGCAAGCTTGGGAAGGCCACAGCATTCTGGTTCTTGGCCCAAGAAGGTGGTCACCTGTTTAGAAAAAAAAAAAGACGATGGCCTGTTGAAAATCTATTGTTAGTTGCGAAGTCATGTCCGACCAATCATGACCAAATGGACAACATTCCTCTAGGCCAGTGATGGCTAACCTTTTTGCCATCGCGTGCCAAAAGCTGGGGGAGTGCAGGGTGGGCGTGTGGGTGCGGTGCCCGCACCCATAATTCTATGTGCCCTGCCCCCCCACGCATGCGTGCGCAACCCCCCCATGCTCCCACCGCTTTTGGCATGCGATGGCCTGGTGGGCCCAGTAGGCCCGTTTTTTGTCCTCCCCAGGCTCCAGAGGCTTTCCAGGAGCCTAGGGAGGGCGAAAACAGCCCTCACCCCTCCGGAGGCCGGAAATACTTCTGGTGGGCCCAGAAGACCCAAAGCGCATGTGTGCTGGAGCTAAGCTAAGTCAACGCTCGCGTGCCCACCAATATGGCTTGGCGTGCCATCTGTGGCACACGTGCCATAGGTTCACCATTAAGGCTCTAAGCCTTCCTGTCCTCTACCATCCTCTGGAGTCCATTTAGGTTCCATCTTATCTCTTAAACAAGGGGTGTCAAACTCAATTTCATTGAGGGTTGCATCAGGGTTGTGTTTGACCTTGGGGGTGGGGTGTGTTGTGGCCCCGCCCTCTGAGCCTATCTCATCGGAGGAAGAAGGCTCCGAACATGAGGGAGAGGAGTCAGCCAGGCCTCCCTCTCCAGGCCCCTCCCCTCTGGCACTGCCTCAGGTGCCGGCTGAGGAAGGGGAGATTGGCCAGGAGCCAGGTGTCTCTAATGAGAGCGAGGAAGGAGAGCCGTCGTTCCTGGATGCACGCCAATGAAGGCGTGATAAACGGTTGCAGCAGTTAAGGAGGCGTGCTAGGGATTATAGCTGAGTCACTGGACCACACCCCAGAGACTATATAAGAGAGGGTGGTGGCTGGTAAAACTCTGCGACGAACAAAAACTAACTCTGGCTAGTCACTTGAACAACGCCTGAAGCTGCCGAAGGGATATTGTTTTACTGGACTATTTACAATGCGTATGTAATTTTATGTTATCTGTTGTAGTAAAGCTCTTGGCAGACGGTGCTTATATTGTTGCCAAGTTTGAGATAACGACCTGTGTGCGTGCCAAGTACTTTCTTAACCCTCGGCTGGCTGTGTTTGTGTGTGTGTGGAGACGGGGACAGATCAGGGTGTGTGGGGGTGTGTGACCAGCTTGATGTCATTCATGTTGGGGATGCCTATGGTGGCCCAAGTGCTCTGCCAGCGAAAACAGGCTCCTGAGTTCCATTTATGGCTGCGACGGCTTGCAACCCTCTGCCAGCGCCCCTCCTGAGTGCTGACAGAGGCACTGCAGGCCGGTCCTTTGCTGTTTCCAGGACAGACCCGTGGGCCAGATCTAAGCACCCCAGCCTTCAGTTTGACACCCCAGTCCTAAATGGCAACTCAGTCCAGGTGGAGAGAAAGGGTTTCAAATCATTCAGAAGAGTCTCCATCTCAATGAACTCACTAGAAAAAAAGGGCAAGGATTTCTTTTTGCCATTTCCAAGACTCTGCCTTCGACCCACAGCTTCACAAGTATGGAAATCATTGAATAGACCAGAATTCTGGGAGTTGAAGTCCACCAGGCTTAAAGTTGCCAAGGTTGGAGACCCCTGGAATAGACTGTGCATGGGTACAAGATCCAGAGAGAAACTCTGAACTAATGGGGCTATCTGGTGGCTTCTGTTCTTTGCGATTGTGTTGACTTGCAAACAACAACACATATTTATACTGTCATTTGTGCCCCGATCAGTGCACACCTGAGGACCTTATGGCACTGCGATGGAACGCAATTCATGTTGCTAGTTTCTGGCCAAGATCTGTTTGATTTGTACCTATTTTAACCTTGTATTTGATATTTTAAATTTAATGTCATATAGTATGCCTTATTTTAATTGTGATGAACAGATTAGTTGAGTTGGAAGGGACCAATCTAAATCATCTAGTCCAACACCCACCTACCCCGTCCAAGAGGAGACCCTACACCATTTCTGACAGATGGCAGTCCAGTTTCTTCTTGAAAGCTTCCATTGATGAAGCTCCCACAACTTCTGAAGGCAACTTCTGTTTCATTGGTTGATTGTTCTCACTAGTAGAAAATTTCTCCTTATTTCCAGGTTGAATCTTTCTTTGTTCAGTTTCCATCCATTGTTCCTTGTCTGGCATTCAGGTGCCTTGGAAAACAACCTGACCCCCTCCTCTCTGTGGCAGCCCCTCAAATATTGGAAGACTGCTATCATGTCTCCCCTGGTCCTTCTCTTCAGTAGACTAGCCATGCCCAGTTCCTGCAATATTCATCATATATTTTAGTCTCCAGGCCCCTCATCATCTTTGCTACTCTTCTCTGCACTCTTTCTAGAGTCTCAACATCTTTTTTAATACTGTGGTAACCAGAGGTGGGTTTCAGCAGATTTTGACCAGTTCTGGAGAACCAGCAGCCGAAATTTTGAGTAGTTCAGAGAACCGGTAGTAAAAATTCTGACTGGCCTCGCCCCCATCTATTCTCTGCCTCCCTAATCCCAGCTGATCAGGAGGAAATGGGGATTTTGCAGTAACCTTCCCCTGGAGTGCGGAGGGAATGGAGATTTTACAGTATCCTTCCCCTGCCACGCCCACCAAGCCATGCCACGCCCACCAAGCCATGCCATGCCATGCCCACCAAGCCACACCCACAGAACTGGTAGTAAAAAATTTTGAAATCCACCACTGGTAGTGACCAAAACTGGATGCCGTATTCTAAGTGTGGTTTTACTAAGGCTTTATTTATAGAGTAGTATTAGTACCTCTCACTTGATCTTGATTGTATCCCTCTGTTAATGCAATTTAGGATTGCATTGGCTTTTTTGGCTTCTGCCGCACACTGTTAGTTTATATTTAATTGGTTGTCCAATTAAATGCTTCTGACCCTAATAAACAAACCTCACAACTAGCATTAAAGATAGCCATCTGTGTCCTTCTTGTCTCCCAACTGGGTAGGCTCTGAGAGTTGTACACATATGCGTACACATGCCAGTTGCTGTGGTGAATGACAAGCATCTGACAAGTTTCTCCACCCAACCCTTGTTTCTATGCAATCATCAATGCCTAAACATCAATGCAAAGGGAGGCACCTGTGAACGAAGGTGGTGGGAAGCGTTTTTGTGTGGCTCCAAAACATTCTCTGAGCTGCTTTAAGGCTTTTGCAGAAGAAACTTCCCCGCCAGGCTGAAGAAATTAGCTTCCAAAGCAATTGTCTTGCATGTGGTGATTTATGCATAATTTGTACATAGCCGAGGGAAGTAGGGAGCAGTTTTTGCATGAGAAACCCAGCCATTCCCCGCGTCAAATTTAATCCCCCTCCTCCTGCCTTTCTTTTTTCCCCCTCTTTCCCCTTCCCTCTCCTTGATGCCTAGTTGAATTCCAGCCTGAATTCCTACTTCAAAATAACTG